GCATAAAGCTGAGCGACGACCCTTATGCTGCCTCTCAAATGTCTGTGCGACGATGGTAATTCGTCGCACCAGGTTTGAGCGACAATTTTTTTTTCGTCGCGCATAAAGGTGCGCAACAATTCTTATGCCGCCTCTCAAATGTCTGTGCGACGACGAAAAATCGTCGCACAGTTTTGAGCGACGAACACATAATCGTCGCGCAAAATGTTTGCGCGACGAATTGTAGCCGTCCCAGCACTGTTGGTGCAACGAGCTTGTTGCGCGACGAAATGACCAATGTTCTGTCGCGCAAGGGCTTTCTTTACGGACTTCGCGCGACTGAGTTTGCGCGACGGTCATTTCGTCGCGCTGTTATTCGAGCGACTACTTTGTACTTTGCGCGACAAATTTGTCTTCGTCGCGCAAACAGTGATATTTAGTAGTGCAAGTAGCATCCTTTGAGCATGCATGATGCATAGACTTGCACTTGTCTCCTAGTCGGCAATCAAGTCAAGCCGCCCAGGTCCAAGCCCATTTCGACAAGTAGTTATTTCATGACCACGACACCGCTCGCACGTTTTGGTGATGCTTGCTGCCTTTACTACTAAATGATTGATCAAATTATGATTTACAGCTTTCTACACGGGGTCTTAATTATTTGTCGGAGGATGTTTTTATGACCTTTCTTTATAAATTTTGCAATAAGCACTTTGTAATTTGAGTAATGCAGTTACCTTTTTACTTCTGTATTTAGATTCTCAATCTGTGGTTAAGTGTAGTTACCTCTGTTTTCGAGATCCTATGTTCATATTCTAAATCTACTAATATCGCTTGTGAAAAATAAAAATCTATACATATCCTAGATGACATTTTATTAGTCATCTTGCATAAGTACAACTTCCATAAGTATGTAACCATATCTTATTGGACTTTTCTTCCTCAAAGACAAGTGGTGCAGATTGATCAAGTCTTTTTGGTCTTCTATCTTTGTAGGCTCCAAGACATTCAAGTAATCTTTAATAAGTCTCAATTTTCCACAGACCAGCATCATGAAATTTGGAAGTCGTCGCTTTGCTAAATTGATTTGGCTGCAACTATCTTCAATTATATTGCCGATCGTTTGACCCCCGGGCCACAAAACTCATTGTCTATATCCATTTCGACAAAAAAAAAATGTTTATTGTGATGGATATGTTCAAGGCTTAACATGATTTTTTTAATTTCTGTTTTACAAACGACAACATATTTGCACGATACTTTAACACCACGGTTAGCTATAACTTCCTTCCTATTCATGTTTCTAGTTTGCACCAATGCATCTAAATTCATCACTAACCCATAAAAATTTACTTTTCCTTTCCAAAAGGAACATCACGATTTTCTTTACTTTTCCTTTCCAAAAGGAACATCACGATTTTCTTCATCTGTCTCTGTCTAAGCTTCACATCAAAGATGAACAAGATTTGATACATCCTTTTTATCGATTCCAAATTTCTTGACTTTATACTCTCGCATGTGATTTCTCTCTCATCTATTATAATGTTGTTTGCTGAGTAAACTCAAGAATTGTTTTTCTGGCAGTTATTTACTATCCTCCACAAGGGCGCTTGTTGTGAAATTATTGCAAGCTTACAATCTGCACAAGTAATATAGAATTAAATAGAGTGTCGTTCCCACTAAGACTGTAAAATCCTATTAATTACCAATTATGATTAATTCAAAAGTTTATTTGAATCGTTGATTAAGAAGATTGATTGATTTATTAAGCAGAAATAGTTATGAAAAATACAAATTTAATTAACGATGGAGAATCAAGTTAATGAGACACTAGAGCATTTGATTTCACCATAACCAATTCCACTTAATTCTCATAGCCAATTAACCCTAATTACTATCCATGTTGACAATTGGTTTCTAGATATCCCCTCTTGGGTTCAACCAACAGGATTCTTAATTAACAACTCATTCTCTCTCGAGCAACGGATTTAGAAAATCAAGAACCCATTAAGTTCTATGAGAACCTGCAAGAAAACTGCATAAGTCATATTAGTCCCTCTCAGACACTCATTCAAGACATAGTATTTGTTACGAGAAGCAAACACCAAACATCTCCTCTCGGTCTCCACTTGAATCATCAATTAAATACTAGCTAGATATTTAAAGCATTAAAAGTAGTAACAAATACTCAACATGGAATAGTAATAAAAAATTAATATAACTATAAAAATTAAGTGTTCATGGTAAGGCTACATCACAGCCCTAGTAAGGAAAATTAGTTCTTGACAAAAGAGAAGGTAAACATGTTGAAGTTGGCTCACCATAAATGCAAAAGGAGGACGAAGAAACGGCAAAAGAAGACCAGTTCTCTAGGTTCTGGTGCTCGAGCAGAAGCTATAGGCGCTCAAGTAGCAGGGAGACGTTTTTCCGCCCAGTCCTAGGGGCTCAAGCGAAAGTGCAAGTGCTCAAGCGGACGTCGCAAATCCAACACAGATCCTTGGCGTTTGACTTGGTGTTCCTATTATTCTGAGGTTTTCTAGCCTAATTTAATAGGGTTTTAGTTTCCTATTCCTACTTAACTTATAACCCAAGTCCTATAAGTTATAAATAGGACTTTTAGGGCTAGGTTAAATTTCATGAGAGGAAAATTCAAAAGAGAATTTGCAAGAGAATTCAAAGGGGAACTCTGCCTTTAGCCAGGAGAGAAAAAGAAACGCCTAGCCTTTCAATCAATGCATCTTTTCATGCATGACTTGCGGTTCTCAGCAATTAAGTCGAGCCGCCCAGGTCCAAGTCCAGAAGTATCACTTCATGACCACCACTTTGGCTATGATTGCTGTCATTTAGCAAATGGTTAAAACACTCGTCGGCTTTCTAGATGGATTCATTTGGGGTCGTATGTTACTCATGAATACTTAGAAAATTAATTGATTATTTATTGGATGTATTATTCACAGCAGCAATATATATCACTGTATCATTGGAACATAGAAAACGATGTAATTCCGTTTTTTGGCCTGAGACGTTTTCCCTTCTAGTTTCTATGTGTATCCATCCTTATGGGTACCGAAAGCAATATTAAGAGTTAATCTTGAGGTATATATTGTCCCTCAACTCAAAGATTTGAAGGAACTAGGTTTTTTTTTTAGTACAAGCATTTGGGGAAGTGGGGTTTATACAAATATTCATTAGGTGCCTGAGGAGAATTTCGAACCTCAGCCGACATGAGTGGAGGTGGAAGAGCTCAACCAATTGAGCTATTTCCTAGTGGCGAATTAAGTAGGTTAACATAGCAGTAGACAAAATAATTGAGCGTAGCTGAGCAAGGCCAGCCCTATAGAAGCTGCCAACCAAACCTAGCTACTATTATATATGCATGACTTGAGAATTAAATGATGTTAATAATGTCAATATAGATGGCGTAAGATCCTTGACAGAGGCCTAGGCCTGTGTGTGGATAGTTTTGAGACAATTATATGTATGGCACACAAAGCATTGACTTGCTTCACTTTATTCGACTCTTGTCCTCTCCTTCTAGCTAGCCATCGAACTTTTAACATTGAGTGTGAGTACAATGTCGCGGAAAAGTATAAAGAAAACCTGTGAAGAAATTAACGTAATTATTAGTCCATAAAATCCAAGTATATCTCTCAAAATAGTTTGTTTGTTCGTAGTACATGATGAGCACCATAGAGATAGAGATACCCTCAAGTATATCTCTTAAAACCAATGGGGTTTTGACACTTGTCAAATTTCAACAAAAAAGAAAAAAGAAAAAAGAAAAAATTGACACGTGTCAAAACCACATTTATGGTAAGAAAGAGTTCCTCCTCAATGTGAGTACAATGTCACAGAAAAGCATAAGGAAAACCTTTGAAGAAATTAACGTAATTATTAGTCCATAAAATCCAAGTATATCTCTCGTATAAGCACAATCTCAATAGTTTGTTTGTTCGTAGTACATGATGAGCACCATATAGACACCCTCAAAGAGCATGGCTTGGCTCCTTCAAATTAAGGAGGAGATTCTCCTTAAAACCAATGGGATTTTGACAAAATTTTCAACAACCAAAAAAAGAATATTTAAAAACTTGACATGTGTCAAAACAACATTTATGGTAAGGAGTTCCTCCTTAATTTTAAGGAGCCAAGCTTTTTCCATTAAGATATGGACGTCCATTTTCATGGGCATGGCTTTTTCAATGCATTAATTGCAATTTATTCTCAATAATTTTACGGAGATCAAATTTTTTACTCACATTTGAAGATTAAATGACATGACATGCATTTTAAAATGTAGATTTATTTGAAATTGATGTTTTTTTTTATCCATTTTGACATGTTACTGTACTTATCATTTGCTACTGAACCTCATTGCATCATGTGGACACCATTCGTTCACATAAAATCATTCGTAATTTTCTGTTATTGTAACATAAAGAAAGAGGGGTAATATTATATTTCACACAAATTCTGTGTGCAATATATCTTCGAAAAATTATTTTTGCATGACGTTAATTCTATCTTTAATTAAATACCGGACTATCAATATTCACATAGATATTTTATTGAAGTTGGCAAAAGTATATCGTTAACATATCAATATTTTTATTATTGATGATAATAATATCGATATCGACACATTATCAATTACAAGTGGACAATTCTCTTTATTGAAGATCAAATGCTTGATACATAGCCAGACTATAATAATTGACACGTTACCAATTACATGTCGAGAGTCTTACCTTTATTAAAGATCAAACGTTTAATATAGAGCAGGACTAATTATCGACACATTACATGTCGAGAGTCCTATCTTTATTAGAGATCTTGTCCTTTCTATAGTTCATATTTATGTATGCTCATCATGGGCAGAAAGTAATGGCGTAGTTAGGTCCACCAAAGCACGTAAATAAACCCTTGTTGTCATCATAAGCGTAGCTGTAAGCGTCGGGGCATGCGTTATGGAATATCTGAGAGTAATTTGTCGGTGGGCATTTCTCTTTAGTTTCGTTAGGCGGAGTGCAACAGTACTGTGGGTCACCGAATGCAACACATGCGCTCAAGCAGGCAACCACGCTCCCATCGGGCCCTTTCTTTTGCAGCTCACTCGGACAAACTCCATTCACGTCCGCCGGGCAACTACCCGTCCTGCAGTCTCCGGTACCGCCTTGTGGAGTCACAGACATGCGCAAGTTGAAGCCATCAACAAGACTAACGTCGTAGAAATCTTGTCCTCCGCCTGCTGGAATATTGAATTCCGCTAAAGTTGCTGGCGGAATGCCACCTTTACCGTTGCACGTGACCTGACCAGAGTCACAGTCTGCGGTGGTGCAGACGAACTTTCCAGAGGCGTCCGTGGAGCATCCAGTTCGGCCCCAGAAGCGGCCGTTCCACGGCACCGGAGTGTCTAGCTGGAAGCTAGCTTGGGATGCTAACTCGAACCCTGTGGTTGATAATTGAGGTTTTCCATCGGAGGTTAGGGTTGCTGGCCAGACCGTGTAGGGGCAATTGTTTTTGAAAGAAATTGTCGCTGCATGTGCACCTGCCATGCAAAGTAAACCACACTTAATTTGATGCAGTAATCACAAACCACACTTATTGTGACCAAATATTAAATTAAAATTAAAGAAAAAAAGAAGCTTCGACTTTAAGAAAAGATCAATGAGTATTTCTGTCGTTTGGCCAAAATGAAAAACTTAAAGAAAATAAGAAGCTTGTTTACCTCCGAAGGAAAGGATGGTTAAGCTGAAGCTGAGGACAACTACTAGGGTCTTCATCATCGGAATGTCTTAGCTTGCTTTGCTTCGAATTTGATGAGCTTGGGCTTTAGTTATATAGGCTTGGTGCGGGCCTAACCATTTGTCCTTTTAGTTTGTGGTATAGTCAACAAACGTAATTTTGACCGTATATTTAACATTTTCATCACGCAGTATTTACCTTTAGTAGGCTCCAGTTGATGGATTCTTTAAATATATAGTTGAGGGATTCATTGTGTGGTCCCCCTCATCATTAATTCAATGATATAAAACATCATTCTTGATGGATTCTTTAAATCAATGTTTAACTAAAAATTTAACATTTAAGATAAATAAATTATATAAATTCAAACTTCAATATAAAAATCTAAAATAAGAGAAATCCCCTCCACAACAACAAACTTAAAACTTCCAAATTTACAATCAATTAGAGCTTAAAAGAGTTGAAACACCCCATGTTACTTTTAAAAAAAAAATATTAAAAGAATATATAATAAATATAATATACCTCTTTATAAAATTAAAATTTTAAAAAATTTGGGCCACCCTGGACAGTGGATCCAGAGTAGTCACACTGACTTCCCCTGTCCCGGGCCAACACTGATTTCAACTTAAGAGGTTCTGAGTTTGCATCCTTCTTTTTGTTAATAAAAAAACAAACAAAATCAAATTACTTCATTTGTTTTTGTATGAAGATTTATTTATTTTTTCGATTCTATCTATTTGTTTATTTCTTGTTTTTTGTCAAATCGTTTTTTATGAAAGATCAACATTCACATCCTTCGCCAATGTAGAAAGTGCCACTCTAGGAGAAGAAGCTGCCACAAACAAACAGAGGTAGAATTTACAGCACAAGATATGCCACTAAAGTCTAAATGTGCAACTGTACTAAACTGTAGGGCCATTGAAATGTGTATTATTAAATCCCCCTAAATTGCCACGAACAAGCAAAGCTAGAATTTTCAACACTCAGGACACGTTTTCTTTTCTACAGGTGGTGAAGAAAATTAATATGTCTACCTTGACCGGTGAAGAAGGAGAAAAATTTAGTTGCAACAAGGATAACACTGGTTGCTATTTCCAGCCAATAATACTATGTCATGTTAAAGTGTTAACACGTTTGTCATAACATTATTGGTTGGTTATAGCAAAATAGTGTTATCCCCATTTTATAAAATCTTTCTTGTGAAGAAGGGCCAAGAGGAGAGACCAGTGGTAAGACTAGGAAAATTACTACATAGTTTGTTTCCTTTTTCTTTAAATAAAATTGATTAATCATTATTACTGGTAAATCATCATTTGTTTTCCATTCGCTGAGTAGAAATAATTGATTTTGTTATGTAAACAGGAAGTTGGTGTCTATGTTTTAGTGCGGCTCAGCAAAAAGAATACATACACTACTACATTTTTCTATTTGCGCGACGATAGTTTGCGCGACGAAGGACAAATCGTCGCATAAAAGATCATCGCGCGACGGATAATCATATGCGTAGCTCAAACAAGAGCGACGAAGAACTTTCGTCGCATAAAAGATCAACGCGCGACGGACAATAATATGCGTAGCGCAGCCTAGCGCGACGAAGAAATTTCGTCGTATAAAAGATCATCGCGCGACAGACAATCATATGCGTAGCGCAAAATAGAGCGACCAATAAATTTCGTCGCGCAAAACAACTTTGCGCGACAGAACAAACGACCGTCGCGTAAAACAAGGGGAAAAAACCGCGAATAAATATTCTGGCGCCTAATTCTTGCGCGACGACTAAACTTGTCGCAAATGACATCTTTGCGCGACAAAACACTATCCGTCGCGCAAGGTACGATATACAAAACCATTAATCCTAAGCCTAAATTTTAATTTTGCCATCTAAATCATATATGTTTCATTGATTTTAGTGAAGATCATCATTCATACCCTTTTAATTATGGGAATGGTAGAGGAGAATCTTTTTGTATGGTTATCAACCTCCATACGAATAAATTTCAGGGTTATCAATTTCCCTACGAAGAGAACAGCGCGAAATATGTTTTGAAACTAAAAAGTGTTCATTCAACTCTACAAAACTAATTTCAACGATCCAACCGTTAAACGTGTTTGTATATACTGTGAGATTGTATACCCCAAAAATCGCAAATAACAAATATTCAGAGATCTAGAAATGGGACAAAATATTCAAATGTTATAAATGAACACGTTTGCGCGACAACGACGTATTCGTCGCTCTAGGATGTTTTGCGCGACGACTAAACTCGTCGCATATGACATCTTTGCGCGACAAAAACTGTCCGTCGCGCAAAGTACGATATACAAAACCATTAATCCTAAGCCTTAGTTTTAATTTTGCCATCTAAATCATATGTTTTTCATTGATTTTAGTGAAGATCATCATTCATACCCTTTTAATTATGGGAATGGTAGAGGAGAATCTTTTTGTATGGTTATCAACCTCCATACGAATAAATTTCAGGGTTATCAATTTACGTACGAATCTTTTTGTAGGGTTATCAACCTCCATATGTTTTGAAACTAGAAAGTGTTCATTCAACTATAGAAAACTAATTTCAACGATCCAACCGTTAAACGTGTTTGTATATACTGTGAGATTGTATACCCCAAAAATCGCAAATAACAAATATTCAGAGATCTAGAAATGGGACAAAATATTAAAATGTTATAAATCAACACGTTTTGCGTCACAACTGTTTGCGCGACGACTAGTTATTCGTCGCCATATGATGTTTTGCGCGACCACAAAATCCATACGTCGCGCAAAATTAATTGCGGGAAAACAAACAGTGTTCGAGGTGTTTCGCGCCACAACTTTGCGCGGCGAAAACAAAGTAGTCGCGCAAGGAGGCTAGCGTGGCTGCGTGCGTGTCAAACTGGACTTTTGCGCGACGGAAATTCTCTATTGCGCGACTAATATCATGTGCGACGAAACGATTTTGGCGTCGCGCAAAGGTGTGATGTCGGCACGTCTTTGCGCGCCAAGCATGTTGATTTTGCGCGATGAAATTTGTTTTGTGCGACGAATATCTGTGTTCGTCGCGCAAAGATGTGATGTCGGCAGGACTTTGCGAGTCGCTGAAATGGAATTTGCGCGACTTATTTATTTGCGCGACGAATTAAGCCTTCGTCGCGCAAAGCCGTCTTCTATAACAGATTCATTTCAGCCATTGCAGAGGCAAACTGAAAAATCAGTTTTGCCTCTGCTTCTGCCCCTCTCTCTCTCCGTTCTCTCCATTTTCTCAGCTGCAAATCAGTTCAGGACATATTGAAGAAGGTATTTTATTTGTTTTGTATTTATTTAAAATATCAATTTAATTTCTTTATATATTGTTTTTGTGAAATTATATTTGTATTCTGTTGTTAAATTATGCACGGCAATGTACGAAGTTAATTGAAATTAACTTCATACATTTTTTATTGTAAAGCTTAGTTCCCGTTCGAGGTTAGTTGGACCGCGCATGGGTGGGTAAACCACGACTACGGTCCAATTAATTCTTGAATTGTCCCATATTTTGGACAGTTTGGAAATGTATAGTCGTGTCACGTAGTTTACAGCTACAGGATTAGGTTTCGATTGTGGAGATTTCGGTGTCATCTCGGTACGTTCTTCGGGTGGTACGTAGGTATTTGATATCTACAGTACACCTCAAGAACTGTAGCGAGATGCTGCCGAAATTCATCCACGTCGAAATCTAATCTCATGTAGATGTAAATTACGTGGCATGACTATGCATTTCCGAATGGGATAGGACCCTTACCGGAGGCATAAGGTGACGTTGTGATTTTCTAAGAATACAACATAATTGTTGTATTGTGATTGTGGTTCCAGGAATTATGAGCAGAAGGTGGATACAGAACCCGAATAGGTGCGCAGACGAATACTTGGATGGAATCGAGGATTTCATTGACTTTGCACGGACACACAACCCGGGTGCAACTAGAATCCGTTGTCCTTGTAGGAGCTGTAACAACACGTTGTGGGACACAATTGAAAATGTTCGATTTCATTTAGTGAGGAATGGAATGATTGAGACATACATCACTTGGAACCATCACGGGGAACAATTAGACATTGCTTCGTCTTCAAGGGCCACAAGAG